GCAAGCACAGTAAGGGTTAACCAGAGGCAGATACTGAAAGTCAGCAGACTCACATATCCACACATCCACGTGCAGACAGCAGTGTCCAGTTTTTAAATTACTTTTCTTTCTCAATTGGAGAGAAAAACACATGGCTTTGAGGCCAGTGGCAATTGGTGACAGTGCCCTGAGAGTGCTGATAACAAATTTGAAGCAAGCAAAGCAAAACTTGCAATTGTTTTCAGTAAAAAAGCCTCACCCTCTTTTCCCCCCTCAATTCCCTGCTCATTACAAACTGCTTTTCTATCTGTTAAATAAAACTAATTTGCCATGTTTTCTTCCCAGCTTATTTGTGCACATAAAAGAGGCTGAGGATGAAAATATTAAGCACACACCACCCAGCTGCTGGTTTGTCTCTGCTCCAGGGCTGTCAGGATGGGAATTGCTGCTGTAAATGCTGACAGAGCTCTTGTCAGAGAGGAAAGGTAACTTCCATCAGAGCAAATTCCACGAGGTAAGACAACCTAGTGCTTGGACAGCACTGCTCACCTCCAGGAGGAAGCTTCAGAGGCGAGTTATGAGAGCAAGCTTTGAGACTGAGGAAAAGAATTGGGTATATTGGAAGTTCTTGTGAGCCACAGTGACTGGAAAACAAACCTTGGATAACCAGTGGGTGTAAAAATGGATGGGGCACCAGCTAGTGAGGAGTGTTAGTCCATGCTGGCATCATCATGGAGTGCAGTGCAAGAGGAGCAAAGCAGCTGCTCCTGAAAACCCCCCAGGTTCATGAAAATTTCAGTCCCCATGTGCAGCTTCTCTTTCAAACCTGTCTAGGTAAAGAATTCCCTGGTGTCTTATGGGAATTGTAATAATAACTGCTCCTTTTCTCCTTTTTGAATCCTTTTTTGCTATGGATTCAAAGCAACGGCAGCTCTTCCACCTGGTTGTTGTGCCAGCTGGACAGACTGGACACAATCATACACAGGGCTTTGGTTGCAGAGAATTTTGGCTTTGAAGTAATTTTGCTAACTTTGTTTTCTTATTCTTCTTTTTTTTCCATCAGCATCAGCTCAGGCTTGACTGCTATATTTTTTAAGCAATATAATAATAGTAATAATGACTATTATGATTATGATGACAGTGATGAAAATTACTCCTTTATATTTATGCTCTAAAGTTTTCAGAGAGGAGGAAGAAATCCAACATTTTGCCTTGCTGTTTTTCTCCCCACACAAAGTCTAATGATCACTTCTTAAATAAATGATCTGAAAAAAAACATCTTGGCAAGTTTATTACCAGGTCAAGCATTGATGTGCTTTCAGCAGGGAAGGAAGAAGAAAGAGCAAAAGAAATAATTCCACAGAAGGAATAAGGCAGAGCTGTATTACTGCAAAAGCAAGTAAAGGAGTTTGAGGGAAGCAGTCCCTGCTGTCCAGGCAAAGAGTGAAGTGTAATTTATACCTCTCACACAGAAGGAGTCTCCTGCAGGGTGAACTGCAGCAGGCACTGAGCAAAACAAAACTCAGCTGAGAACTGGAAAAACAACATCCAGGGCTGTCTGCTCTTGGCAACAGGCAAGGATGTCACCACCAGAAATCCCTCTTTTCCCCTCACTTGGAGTATCTCCTGACCATTTTTTTTCAGCTGGTGCTGATAGTGACTTGGTTGCTCGAGTCAGAGATGGAAATAATTTCCACCACTCTTGCAGGAGACTCTCCTAGTAAAGAATATTTACTGCCTTTAATCCTTTTCAGTCTCTCTCATCCTAACAAACATTTCTGCTGTCCCAGCTGTGGGGAATCCCCTTGCTGACACCCAGTCCTGCTGTGGTGCAGCTGCTTTCTGGAGCTGTGCTTGTACCACTGGTAACACAGACAGGGCTGTGGGACATTATGGGTCATCTTATTCACACTCAGCAGATGTTGGAGGCATCATATGGAACACCAACACAAATCCCTGCAGCCGTGGGGGCAGGATTTTCCCTGTCTTAGGAGCTATGGATTTCCCAGGATGGGGAGGTTCTGGTGTGAGCAGCAGCGGATGACTTGGGGAGAAGTTCTACAGCACAGTTGGCACTCCCAGGAGCTGGGGAGCTCTTGCATCATCAAAACATATTCATCTGCAGAGATAATTAGGGACTTCACCAGCCTGAGAATAATTCCACAAGAAACTTCACCCTCCTGTAGACACAAAAAGTCTTTATTTGCTTTAGTTTTTGATTCCCACAAGTGGGATCTATAACCCTGGTTTGGGGATCCAGATCCTCCTTGACAGGGAGGCAGAGTCCTGTTGAACTGGCCAGGTTCCTGTGAAATGACTTCACAGAAGAATCCACCTGGGACCCCCAGTCCCAGCCCAAGGAGCCTGGAGATCTGTCTCTTGTGCAAAAAGGGCATTTCCTCTGCATCCAGGTCTTTCTGCAGCTCAAGTCAGCACATTTAAGCTCTTGGCAGACAAAATGATCAGGCTTTGCTGATAATAAGAGCTGCTCCAGCACTGCTTTGGGACCATGCACTCGAGGAGCTATTTATAGATGAGAGAAGAGCAGCAACGGGGAAAAGGAAGGAAAAAATGGAACTGGCTGAATGTGTGAGCAACATTTTTCCTTTTTAAATTATACATCTGCAAAGTGATCTCAGGAGCTCGAGACTCACATTCTGTTCTCCAAACAGCTGATTTCATCAGGAGGTTTTAAGGACATTATAATCCCTTCATTCACAAATGTGGGTTAAGAATAAAGGCTAAATATGTAGAAAATGCTCTTAATCTTCAGAGCCCTCGGTGACTGCTGGTGCAGTGACCCTTGCTGTAGTCTTTTGATGTTGGAAGTGAACATTGGTCCTGTTTAATGGTCAGGAACCACATGGAAAATTTGGACAGGCCTTGGAGCAACCTGGTCTAGTGGAAGGTGTCCCTGCCCATGGCAGGGGGTTTGGAATGAGATGGTCTTTAAGGTCCCTTCCAACCCAATCCCAAATTCTATGATTCTATATGTGCAGCCATCAGGTCATGAGCTATTACCATGTTTTGCCAAAACTGAAAAAGAAAAAGTGCCGTACTGAGATACTGGTGTGAGGATGAAATCAGCCCTCCCTAATCCTCCACTTTAGGTTCAGAAGGTGCTTTCTTCCCAGTCAGCTCCAGAATCTCCACACTTCAACCCATTTCGCAAAAGGCACATTCAGCACCTGTCCCCTTGCCTGAGAAAATGGGGCATCTGAGGCATTCAGGTTCAAACAACACCTGTGGAACCTGTTTTCCTTCTCAGTAGAGGGACAAATGGGAGAGGGAGGGAGAAAACTAATGGTGAATGGTCTCGAGGTGAAGCCACAGGAGGATCCTCTGAAGGTACTTTGTGTGTTCAGTTGGAGCAGAGGAGCTCCAGGGCAGAGCTCAGCGGGGGCTGCAGCTCCTCCCGAGGGGCAGCTCCGACCTCTGGGAGCAGGGACAGGACCCAGGGAAGGGCTGGAGCTGGGACAGGGCAGGCTCAGGGTGGATCTCAGGACAAGGTTCTTCCCCCAGAGGGTGGTGGGCACTGCCCAGGCTCCCCAGGGCAGTGGGCACGGCCCCAAGGCTGCCAGAGCTCCAGGAGGGTTTGGACAACGCTCTGAGGGACAGGGGGGAGTGTTGGGGTGTCCTGGGCAGGGCCAGGAGATGGACTTGGATGATCCTTGTGGGTCCTGCCCAACTCAGGATATTCTGTGATTCCCTGATTATTTCTGCTGCCAACACCCGCCTTGCTCCCGAGATGGACCCGGAACAGAGGAGCAGGATTGGAAAACTCAGCATCTTTTCTGACCAGGTTGTGCTGACCCAGCCATAAGGGAAAGGGAGCAGCCGAGAGTGGTAAATGCTTGTGGTGGGAAGGAGCGACGAGAGTCAGAGAGTCCACAAACCATGGGAATTGTTTGTTAACCATGTATAAACTTTTATTAATAGATTTTATGAATAAAATTATTAAATTAATTGCATATATTTATAGTACATTGTCATATATTATCTATTGTTCTTTATTACATTTATCTAGTATATTGAATTAAATTTCTTAAAAGAAAAAAGAAAGAGCAAAAAATAAGAAAGAAAAAGAGAGAAAGAAAAAAGAGAAAGAGCAAAAAGAAAATAAAAAAAAAGAGAAAAAGAAGAAAGAAAGAAAGAAAGAAAAAGAAAGAAAGAAAGAAAGAAAGAAAGAAAAAGAAAGAAAGAAAGAAAAAGAAAGAAAGAAAGAAAAAGAAAGAAAGAAAGAAAGAAAGAAAGAAAGAAAAAGAAAGAAAGAAAGAAAGAAAGAAAGAAAAAGAAGAGAGGGAGGGAAGGAGGGAGGAAAGGAGGGAGGAAGGGAGGGAGGGAGGAAGAAAAAAATGGTTACTAGGAGGCAGTGTTTGTCCAGCTGATAGGATGTTAATCCTTGTCCCAGCGTCGATCCACAGGATGGGATGGTTAATCCTGGTCCCAGCATCTATCCACAGGAAGGGATGGTTGATCCTTGTCCCAGCATCGATCCCTACCCTCATGCTGGGATGTTAATCCTGGTCCCAGTGTCCATCCAGCTGGGTCGGCCAGACCGATGGGAAGCCCAGGATCCTGGGGGTTCTTTCCCCATCCTGTGGAAGCCTGAGGTCCATCCGCGGGGGGCGGAGGAGGCAGAGGAGGCCTGGGCGGGCTTCTCCTCATCCATGGCCATTGTCCTGTTCCTGTCCATTGGCGCCGTCCTGTGCTGCAAAGAGGGGGAGAGGGGGAGGGAGAGGGAAGGAGGGAGAGGGAGGGTGAGTGAGCCGCTGCTGGGGAGCAGCTGAGATGGGCTGAGCTCTGCACCCCTTATATACCCCTGGGGCAGGGCGGGGTCTGGGCTGTCACAAAGGCCTCTGGGCACACCCATGTGCCACCTCACAAAGGGCCCTGGAAGGTGCCCCCGTGTCACAAAGGGCCACCCCCGGCCCCCCTTGGACAGCGGGACCGCCTGGACCCGGCCCGGGGCAGCCCCGGCACTCGTGGCCTTGCAGCCCCTCCTTCATTCCCTGCTGTGCCCTGAACCTTCCACTTCGTGGAGGTCAAGTGGTGATAAAAAAAGAGAGTTGTGTTATTGTTTTCAAGGTCAATATCTGTAACTGGGAAACTCCCCTCCCCACTGGTGGTGTTACTATTTAGTTCACAAGGTTCTTCCCCCAGAGGGTGGTGGGCACTGCCCAGGCTCCCCAGGGCAGTGGGCACGGCCCCAAGGCTGCCAGAGCTCCAGGAGGGTTTGGACAACGCTCTGAGGGACAGGGGGGAGTGTTGGGGTGTCCTGGGCAGGGCCAGGGCTTGGACTGAATGATCCTTGTGGGTCCCTCCCAACTTAGGGATTCTGTGTGTCTCTCTGTCTGATGCTGGGCTTGCCCAAGGCGTCCCACTTCAGGACCTCTCTCTCAGCCTCTGGTTTCAAGCTCTCTGAGTAACACCAGTACGACTGCCAGCAGTTCAGGAATCAAGGAAAGAATAAACTAAATTTTTTTTTGTGACTTTTTTTCCACGTTACTCAAGGCTTTGGCACTTGGGAATCCAGTCCGGTGTCACTGCATTTCCCTATCCCGGGGCTCAGCTGTTCGGTGGGGAGGGGATGCGGCGTCGGACTCTCCTTTCCTCCTCTCTCCCAGCCGCTGTTCCCACTAGATGGCATCTCCGTCCCGCAAACATCTCCAGCTCCCGCGGTGTTATCTAACCCTCACGGATTTACACGGCTCATAGAACACTGGTTTAGGCACTGAGCGATTAAACTGGGCAAACATTTCATTATTCTACCTCGATTTCTACTCCAAGATATCACGAAAAAGGTGCCACGGATCAGCAGCATTGGAGCATCTTCCTTTCGATCATCCCTTCTGAAACACTGTCACTGCTGTCAGTGGTGTCCCAGGGACAGAGTTTGTTCTCTCCAGGACATGAAGTGCCTCAGCAGTGCCCAGCACAGAGGGAAATCACTTCCCTGGGCTTGTGCCCACACTATTCCTGATCCAAGGCAGGTGCCATTGGCCCTCCTGCCCACCTGGGCACACCTGGGCTCATGTTCAGCCTCTGTCACCAGCACCCCCAGGGCCTTTTCCAACAGGTAGCTTTCCAGCCACAGAAGGAAGAGTTCTTTGAAGGCAAGTGTTCTTTGAGCAGTGATGTGAACAACAGACCAGCACACAGTGCAGATTTGTCAGAGTTTCAACTCAGACTTCCCCTCAAAGTCATGAACTCAATGGATGTATTCTTCTCTTCATACCCGATCCAATGGATGCCTACTGGATGCAGTGGAAGTGATGAAAAATTTTAGCACTGAGCTGGCAGAATAAAATCCCTCCATCCCAGGGTTGTGGGAAGAAACAGTAACATCCTCCATGCGTGTTGTGCCTTGAGATTGCAATGGGGAAATTACTTGTTGCTGTGTGAGCTTTGTCCCCTCTGCACTTGAAGACATGGGTGTCTCATGTCTGAGGAAATTTTGGGAGGGCATTCTCAGTTGTGTGGGAGGTGCCCATCAGGTTTCAGTCACGTTTGGGGCCTGGGATGTGCTGGACACCCCAGGTGCTTGTGGAAAGCACAGCACAGATGAGTACAAAGAAATGCCTGAGGGGACAGGATCTGCCAGAGGCACATGAGAAACTTGTACACAAAGCCTGAGGCTTCAGCCTGGTGTTCCAGCAGCTCACCCCTAGTGTCTCATTAGGCTGTCACCTCATATCTGAGGTTTGAGAGCATTTGTTCCTTTACCACAGTGTTTTTGTTGTCACTGTCATTAAGCTCTGCAAGAACAGGGAGGATGGAGGTATCACATTCTTGCACAGTTCACAGTCACAGAATTACAAAATATTCTGAGTTGGAAAGGACCCACAAGGATCATCAAGTCCTTAAATCAATGGAAACACCATCGTAGGAAATGACATCTATCCAGTATTTCAGTTCAGTGGTTTATAACTTGTGCCCACCCCACCATCACCACAGTGTTGTATTTTTGTGTCTATATTGCTTTCTTGCCCTTCTCAACATGCAACAATCATGAGGAAAGTTACAGCTCAAACCCCTCTTTGATCAGCAGCATTATGGCATCTGTATCATCCCTTGTGTTTTGTTTATTGGGGGAAATTGGTCTAAGTTACTCAAATCCTGTAAAAATAATGTGGATCTCAACGGGTATCACACATTAAATTGTTATCACCATATCCACCTCAGTGGCATCTTCCATTGGAAACCAACTTAATCTCGTTTCTGACACGTTTTCCCAATTACAGCAGCTGCACATATTCCAGAAAAGCACTGCAGAACCAGATGAACTCCCCAGGCACAAACCTGTCTTTCTCTCACCAGCTGTTGGGCTGGTGCCTGGTGTTTCTTTTGGCGCATTTGCCTCGATAAATGCCATAAATTCTCACATTTAGGAAGTGCCCAGAGAGGGAATCAGGGTGAGTGATTTAGGACCTGCGCTCCCAAAGCCACAGGATAGGATGGGATGTGTGTGTTTATCTACTTCACTGTAACATCAGAACCCCTGGACTCTCCTAAGAAGGATGGCTACATAAGAGAAATTCTCTGTGGCAGTTTAGATTGGATGTTAGGGAAAAATTTCCTCACGGAAAGGGTTGTCAGGCATTGGAAGGAGCTGCCCGGTGAGGTGGTGGAGTCCCCATCTGTGGAGATATTTAAAAGAGGTGTGGATGTGACACTTGAGAACAGGGCTTAGTGGTGGCCTTGGTAGTGTTAGTTTAAGGGTTGGACTCGATATTAAAGGTATTTTCCAACCTAAATGGCTCCGTGATTCTTTAATCTCTATTGTGATGGTAATACTGGTTTGATACAGTTAAAAGCATAAGAACTTCTTCCTTCATATGCAAATTTCTTTTTAAATAAACAATATGTCAGGAGATTTCAGGTATGTTCTTTTATGAGAAAAAATTATGCCCCAAGCCCACTTTAATTGCTTTGACTTTTTTACTTGGTTAGTCAATTCCTTAGGAAAATTAGAAGTACAATGAAGGAAAATGTCACCATCTGTCTGAAGCTGGTGTGCAGAGTAAAACACTTTAAAACTTGCATATTATTCCCAAAAGTAATTTATTACTTTGACCCAAAGAGAAAGAATTGCTGTGAAACCAGTGCTATGCTGCTCACAAACTCTGCGTGCTCAGAGCCTTTGAGCCTTTTTGGTTTCTTCTACTCACTTGCCAGCAGCTGCTGATGTCAGTGCCAGCAGGAAAGCACTGCAGGTGGAACAGAGAAACAGATAAATCAGAGAAGACAAAACAGCTCGTGGGGAGTCTGAACGCCCTAAGTCACAGCACAACACTGCCACTTCTCCTGGAGCACTTCCCTGCACGAGTAGGGGCTGTGTGAGCTGCTGGGGGTGATTGGTGTGGGCTGTTGTGGCCAAGAGAGCTGCAAACCTGAGGAGGTACTTCTGCAGTGATTGTAGTCAGGGGACAAAACAAGTTCTGATCGAGTATTAGAAGTAAGAACGTTTCATAACCCCAGCACAGGAAGGACGTGGAGCTGCTGGAGAGAGTCCAGAGGAGGCACCAAGAGGATCCAAGGGATGGAGCAGCTCTGCTGGGAGGAAAGGCTGGGAGAGCTGGGATTGTTCAGCCTGGAGAAGAGAAGCTTTGGGGTGACCACATTGTGGCCTTCCCAGACCTGATGGAGCTCCAAGAAAGATGGAGAGAGACTATTTCCAAGGGATGGAGTGACAGGACAAGGGGTAATGACTTCAAACTGGCAGAGAGTAGGGTTAGATGGGATATTAGGAAGAAATCCTTCCCTGTGAGGGTGGGGAGGCCCTGGCCCAGGTTGCCCAGAGAAGTTGTGGCTGCCCCTGGATCCCTGGAAGTGTCCAAGGCCAGGCTGGATGGAAACTGGAACAACCTGGTCTAGTGGAAGGTGTCCCTGTCCACAGCAGGGTTTGGAACTAGATGATCATTAAGGTCCCTTCCAACCCAAACCATTCTGTGATTCTCTAACTCTCTTGCCTTGGGTTCCCTTTTCAGTGCTCTGTGCTTTCCCTTTTCCTTCCTCCTTCTTTTGATTACACCCAAGCTGGACTAATAAACCTCCGGGGGGGGGGGGGAAAGCACTGGTAGCATTTTTATGTCCTTCCTTCACGGCACAACATGTTGCCAAAATTTTAAAGCATTTTGTGAGAACTTTTTTTATTTGGTGAAGTCCATGATCAACTTCCTGTTAATTCTTAGGATCACCCTTGATTTCTGCAACATGCCAGAGCTCCACATCTCTGACTCCAGAGGCCATTTCTACGGATAACTCCCTAGAGAATTATTTCATTTCAAGATGTGGCTTCTTTGGGAAGAACAGTCACCATTCCTGGTGTGAGACACCTGTGGAATGACAACATGAGAAGCCACACTCAGCTTTGCCACCATGGTGGGTTGACCATGGCTGGATGTCAGGTGCCCACCAAATTGCTTCATCACTTCCCTCCCCCTGGAGAGGGGAGAGAAAATACAGTGAAATGTTTGTAGATTGAAATAAGGGCAGTGAGAGATCACTCACCAGTTATCATCACAGGCAGAACAGACTTGACTTGGGGAAATTAGTTTAGGGCTGTCAGGAATATCTTGATTCCATGGGGGCTCTGCCTGAATTTCTTCCCTCTGTTTACCTCCACATTCTGAATTTGGAGCTGAACACACACACACAAAGAAGGGAAGGAAAAAGAAGAAAAGAAAAATCAAAGAGGGATTAATATTTTCTCACTGAAATTCCTGCCCACCCACAAATCCCACATTGAAATAGAGACAACACTGGGATTCTCAAGAGCTGTACCACTCATGTATGGCCTTTGACTTTCACAAAATCTCACTGAGCTTTACAAAGGAGGTAAATTCAACCCTCAGAGTTTTACACTTGAAGAAAGTACAGGAGAGAAACAACACACAGCAGAGGAAGAGCAGGGCCAAGGCTGGGACACACATAGTCAGTGGCATTGCCCACCAGCTCAGTTGTCCTGGCAACGGGTTGTTGTTCCACAGAGATCCCATTGAGCTCCAACCACCTTCAGAGCCTGAAGATGATTCAGGATGGTTGAACTGCACAAACACTTTCATTCTGACAAGTCCCTCACAGCTCTTCCGTGCTCCATCCTTTGTGTTCAGTTCTTCAGGGCTCTGTTTCTGATTTCTGTCGCAGTGATCAACTTTGGTATCAGTGTCAGGAATTTTGCCACGGATTATAGAACTCACAAGTCACAAATCAAGCCTGTGGACTCTGAGTGGCCCATGGTGACCCCGAGGTGTCACTGGGGGCCTGGCAGGGAATGAACAGCACCAAGTTAGAGAGGATCATAAGCATTTTTGATGCCGTTGCCCATCCCAGTCTGCAGGAAGCAGGTCTTTGCCACTGCAAAGGACTTGCCTGAGACAGGAGAGAGCTGTGCCTTTCTGATCAACTGCTTCCCTTGCACTTTTGATTTGCTGCTTTGCAGCCATGATGCTGAATTGCTCTAAAATCAGATGTATAACAGAGACTATGG